ATTTTTACATTCAGCTGCTTGTGCTGTGCGAATATAATTTGTGAGGTGTGTAATCACGACCAATATGTTTCGAATAAAAAGTTCCGTTCATCAATGAGAACGTAAAATGAGCATCTCTGGTACCAGCTGTATGTCTTTGAGAATGCTTGCACAGGAAGAATTTGAAACTTATTTAGCGGAGAAGGTAGGCGAGCTTCAGTATGCAACACGTTGTTTGCAACAAACTTTGGGAGACCCTCGCACAAACGCAACACTTCCCTTTCCAGCGGTACTAGTGGTCTCATTTTATAGGCTGCGCTGCCAGAAAACAATACAAATCTAAATTCAATGATAGTCCGCACATACATATCATTATTAGCGTATCGCTTTTCAACCCCGTTTTTTATGGTTTGTGAGCTTGTGTAACCACACCATGGCGCGCGTTGCCTTGGAGTACACATCGTCAATGTACCTTCTACAATTTAATGTATCATTATATGTGATGCCTAAATATTTAAGAACATTTACCTGTGGAATGAGTTCATTTTTATACACTAGCGAGATGTTTATAGTCTGCATAAAAGAGACCGCAAGAAGTGCGTTTTTCTCGACGTTCAGTGTCATATGAATTTCTTGGAGCCACGCTTCTATAGGGTATTGTGATAATTTTGTAGACTCTGGTACAGTGACTGTAGATCGTTGTTACTCGCAAAGAAAGAAATGGTGATCGTCTGCTTACATATGTAAGTGAACATCATGATTTGATGGAACGCAGCTTAAGAATATGTTAAATAAAACTCACAGCAGGACACCCCCTGTAGTACTCCACGTGTCTGCTTATATCTATTCCATGAACACCCATCTTTAAAGCAATGAAATTCCCTTGCTCTTAAATAATCCGAAACACACGCAGTGATGTAGTTAGAAAGGTGGTGATATTTCATCTGTTTTAATAAAATTGAATGTTCAACATTATCGTACGCTTTAGCCAAATCTAGAGTAACAATAAGGCACAGTACTCGCGCCGACGTCTAGCCAGTTGTATGCGGCTCTCTATAAATCAACATGCGCGCACCATATTCAGCAACCACATCTAGAACCAATTCGACTGAGGTTTAAAATTGCGTTATTATCAATATATTTTATTAACCGGGCAATGAAAACTTCTTCAACTTGCTTAACCAGATTGGACTTGAGTGATATCGGCCTCATATTGTCAAGGGCAAATCCATTTCTCTGCTTTTTAAGAAGTGTAATCACTTTTTACAGCTTCCATTCCGCAGGTATCCAAGCCTTTGTAAAAAAATCACCATAATAAGTATTTTGAATAGAAAAATATCGAATATTACTTTTATCATTGCATTGGTCACCCCATCTGATCGAGGTGCTGGAGGAGATAATTGCCTTATTACCCCCGCCAGCTCAGCTACAGTCACCTCCTCAAAATCATCATTCGCTATAGGATTCACAATGTGCAGTGGCATAGCTGGCATAAATCTACTTTGTAATCCTTTCGCCACATTTTCTACTAAGTCAGAGTTCGCAGGAAGAAATAGCTGAATATACAATATTTTCAGAGGGTGGTAACATCTTTTCAGAGCTTAAAAATATAAAAATTGTTTTTTTTATTTCAGCCTTAGAAAGATAATTAAAGCGTTTCATATTATAGTCATCCTTTGCTATACTTATTGTGCGTTTGAAGGCTGCTGCTGCGAATTTATAATCACATCAATTTTTTGGGCATTGGTTGACTAGAAGTTGTTTTCACGCAGCTTAGCTTTTTTTTTTTTTCTATAGCCCCCCCACCCCATGCAATTTTCATTCCACTGTGGCCTAAACGAACCTCCTGTGGCCGAGTTTAATCTAAAAGTTGCGTTTTTTACTGATGTTTTAACACCACAAAAAGACTCATAGCCCTTGTCACCTTGCATGTCCTTGCGACAAATCAAAGTAATTTTTCGGTCTTTTTTCTAATTTTTCGTAGTTTACGAATGAGCCGACCTTTTCGGCGACAAGTATTTTCGGAAATTTAAGGACAAAAGTGATAGGCAAGTGATCACTCTTAGTGGCGCCGTGTAAAGTTTTCTACAAGCATATATTTAAGAATGAGCTTGAAAATGTCAAGTCTATTACCGATTTAGACAGATCTCGGGCAAAGGTAGCAGCATGCGAATTTAAAAAAAAAATTTTTGTCAAGAGTTCATTCTCGCAAGCGTTGTCCACTTAAATCTATTTTGAAACCCCAAGCCACGTGATGTTAATTGAAGTCCCCTGAAGATAATATATCCTTTTTGCAGGCAGATAACATGATGTCAAGTCTTCCCGTGTCTTGCACCCCTGCCGGGAAATATGCATTTACAAACGAAAAGGGAGAACCATTCGGCAATATTATGTTTAATACCGAAATTTCACAATCGGTATCCATACATCGATAAGCTTTGTGACTGAACTTGGTTGATATCAAGACAGCAAGTTCACTCCTCTACCAGGTCGGTGCAAACAAAACAGCCGATACTTTTAGGTAAAGCTTTTGAGTGGCTGAAAGCCAGATTTTCTCGGAGTAAAATAATATCGGCTGAAAGTTGCACATAAAGGTATGATAGTGCTCTGGCTGCAGAAACAATTGGTCTGCAAATCCACTGTATTATGGTTAGGCAACCTATTTTGATGGTAGAACCGTAGCAGAAACTTCTTGGTCCAAAATGTCGTTTCGCAAGAAGTCTTTCTTGGAAAGGTTATCAAAGCAGTCTTTCTTGGGCAGACACCTTTTCGATTTCTAAATATGCGGAAATCTTTTTGATGGACGAGATCGGGTATATGCTTCAGAGCCTCGTGAGAGTCCGTATCCGAAAGGCTTTCGATTCGTCCGTTAGGCTCCAGATCATCTTGTTCTGTAGTTTTGCAAGGCCCTGCCCTATAGGAGAGACAGACCGCTGACGTGCTGTCGCACTGTCTATCACCGTACGCTGCGACAACACCGAAGCCTGAGAATCCCGATCTTGCGTAGACACCACCCCAAGAATTCGAGTCAGTTGGTTTGGAACCAATTGTGCCAAGGTTTCAAAAAGGTTGTTTGCGAGGCATTCCATTGCATTTTCAATAGCCTTCTCTGTGGCATCTGCGATATATTTTGCGCGGGATGCATCCACGTCAGCAGTATTACGAACTGCAACGCCTGCATAGCCTTTGGATCTTTACTGCATTTCAGCAACTGCTTCTCTCTGAGAGCACTGCTTCCGTCCTACAATATCCAATATACCAAGCATTCTTTTTTTTTTGCCATATAGTCTACAGAGTCTGCAGGGTGCGCACCATTACATAAACAGCACTTCTCTTCATCAGAGCTACAGTCGCGGCTGCCATTGCTCTCTCCATAGCGGCGGCATCTATAAACTGATAGGTACCCTTTAACGCTATGTCCATATCACCAACATTTGAAACACTGTAGGAGTTTAGGATAAAGTGGCTTTAGCTTACAGATTAGTGACCATTCCTTAATTCCTGAAGGTCTGACTGTTCCTAAAAAGGTCACTGCCACCAATTCGGTGAGAATTTCCTGTTGTCAATCATACGGGTGACTGAAATTACGCGTGCCACCGAAAACAAATCCAGCATTTCTGCAGTTGTCAGGCTCGTGCCCACACCGCGGACTATTTCTTTTGAGCACGCGAGGTGTGTTGAAGTGAATGGGCTCACTGGATGCGCTGAAAACTCGGAACGATTCAGAAGCTAACGAATGCATTCCTGATCTGCAGAACAGCACAAGATGCCTCCACGACCTAACCGGCGGCCCTCGGTGATTAGTTGAAAATACGAAGCGACTTTTCGAAGCTCCACTTAAATCGCATTTGGGTTTTAGGTCGGTACAGTAGCATCATTGGTAGGTACCAGAGCCATAGGGACGCGGCTCACTCCACTTGGTAACAAATAGTCAATCGGTCAACATTTGGCCGTAATATAACCTAACCAAGGGGAGTGCCGTTGACCGGGAGATGAAAATGAGATTGAGATGGAATGACTAGCTTTAGCTCCGAAACTCCAATACAGCAAACAAAAACAAACAACCTCTAAAGTAGCAATAAGGATACTGCCACCCAATCCTAGGCCCGGGCAGCTTCTTCACAGCCAAGCTTGCAATCTACCGTATACGGTAACCGCTACCACAATTGAACGCTTCGTATAATCGAGCCGACTCGTCAATGCAGAAAGAAAGCGTGTGTGCCACGCGGCGCGAGCAGCTCATTAGTTTTATTGTTATGGCTGCGTTACAAGGGTAGACATTTCGGAAGAACATTTTTGTGTTTTCGGAATGTGTTGTCGATCACGAAGAGATTCATTAAAGTTTGCAAACACTGTAAAACATACCAGTTGGCAGCATGTCTGATTTATTTTCAATGTCTTTATGTCTTGACGATTTCTAGAGTCTGTCATACTTCAAAGAACTTTAAAACGGTCTTTGGCCACTAAATAGCTATATAATTTATATGGTATGAGGCGCTCGACTGGTCGATTTTTGTATCTAAATGTTTCGAAAGCTCTTCATTCCAGTAAAACCACTTTTTTATAAATGCGTGCAGCCCTTCTTCCAGCTTGTATCCTCAAAAGCCTCTAATAGTTAGTGGCCCCTAATTCCCAGTAACGTGTACATTCAAGCATAAACTTTAGCTGATAGTTGCGCTACAAGCTCGAGCCTGCCTATACACGCTATTCCAGAACAGCTGGCTCACTTCAAAATTTCCCATTAAAAGAGCAAGATGAGAACATATGAAGGTTGAGAAAAGCCAAATTCATAGTTGCCCATGGGAAAAAAAGAACCACCGATGTTACAGTGAACTAATGTAAACAGGGCCGCCATGAGAAAATCGAACGTACTCTTGGGGAGAGCTGCACCGCGTTTTCAAGCTGCGTAATCGTTTTGTTCTGTGCTTTCCTTCTGCATTGCTTCTCCCTGGCAAAAAGGGTGAGGTCATCAGTTACTGCAGACCCATTTATCCCTGCTTCTTTTTTTTCGTCTTTTTCAGCGTCCTATACTCCCAGCAGCCAGGATTTTTGCGGCCCGTTGGCTGTCTTGCCGTGGGTGGCGCCCGCATCTGTGACCACCGTGACCGCCCCATCGATAACCCGCTCGCTGCCCCCTTCGTTCGGTGTTTCCAGCGCCCACTGCCGGCACAGGTGTCAAAGCCAACTGTTCAGAGAAAGCAGCCTTTTTTCTCACGGAAGCAAGAAAACAAAATTAACTCTCCCAAAAAGCTGACTGTGCTCTGCGCTGGACGGTGCTGCGACATGTAGCCTCCTCGAGCCGCTGCAGGGCTCCACTCTCGGCGTGGTGTTCGCCGATGTGGTTGAATCGCTCTTCAGCCGCGACTCAGCTCAATGTATGGTTTATGAAGCCTGTTACAAGAGAATCAAATATAAGAATACTATATACACATACAGAAATAACATATATATGTATATACAATATATATTACATATCTACAAGCGTCAGTTACCCCGCACTCTATTTGCCCTTTCACTGTGTGCGCGAGGCACAACTTTCCTTGTACAGAGACCGATGTCGTTGACGTACGTTTGTTGCATCGTTGGATCGTTGGATCACCCTACCCCTCTTTCACGGTCTAAATGGCCACTTTCAGATGGTGTATAGATATATCATGTGTGTGTATATGTGCATGTTAGTTCGTGGATACTTTTTGTTCACCTGTTGAGAAACGTAAGCTGTGAAGTGATATTTGCGTAATGTTCACACAAAGGTACGGCGCTGTCAATTTCGTTAATGTTTTGAGAAGAAAAAAACATCATTACTATTTTGTGCGAACGTGCCTTACGCCTTTGTTTTGCTGTTTCACCATTTTATCTCCTTGCTGTGTAAATATTTAAAAAAAAGTGTGTTGATATCAATAAAGTATACTTTTCGCACCGTGCCTCCTCCTTTGTCAACGCTTTGCTGAGCATCTTCAGCTCGGTGGAGCACCAAGACCAGCGTGACGGTAACTCGCCGCCATGCACCAAGAAGCACCACAGGTATAAGCCAGCGACACATCACTTACGTTTACATTAACGTTGTGTGAAAGCAGGTCGAGTTGACCCATCCATACCTGACCGCCTTTACAAGCTGAGTGTGGCCTCCTTCAGTCACCATCGGAAGTCGGACTGACCAAATACGATAGAACGTTCATCTGTGCCCACCTGCAAGTGTATCTGACTCTTTGCCACGCGGTGTATCGAAGAGCACAACCACAAACTACACCTTTCATGTAAGCGTGCCTTTCGCACTTCGTGCAGGGTACAAAGGGGCTCCACATGGCTGGACCACATGGCTTGAGCAGCGGCTCTCGAATTGCGAGCCGCTGCTCAAGCTAAGACGCCTCTCGTTGGATCGTTGGTTCAAATATTACTCGCCTATCTGGGCACTTCAGTTAATTGGCCCTCATCATTTTGGTAAATCGCCTTCCAACGGTAAATAGCGTGCGAGAGAAATGCAGAAGATAAGTGGATAAAACATTTTGTTATCAGCAGCTGAACACAGTGCAACGTAGCAACTACATTGATTTAATTTTCTATTTATTAAAAGTGAATCATACATATGAAAAGAAGTCATTTTAACTCTTCGTTGTACTCTCGTGCTGTTTTTTTTTGCCAACTGTAGATGTACTATAAGCCCGCGTGAAATTAGATATATAGGGATGGTCCCTCAAATGACTTTCACATAAAGTGGCCTAATAAAGAGTAAGAGTAGCATGTATGGATTATACATTAAATTCTAGAGTACTTAGTACCAAAACCACGATAAAGTTATGTGTAGTCAAAACTAGATCAAGGTTTCACAACACGGTCTTAATTAGTATGTGCTCAAATCTAAGCTGTGTGTGTGTGTGTGTGTGTGTGTGTGTGTGTGTGTGTGTGTGTGTGTGTGTGTGTGTGTGTGTGTGTGTGTGTGTGTGTGTGTGTGTGTGTGTGTGTGTGTGTGTGTGTGTGTGTGTGTGTGTGTGTGTTTTTGCACGAAATACGGTAATCGAACCCTTGGTCTCGTGCCGTGTATGTTCAAGGCCGTAAAGCCTCTAAATCTCGGTGGTTAGTATAATGATCTGCATGCTCAGGCATTAAAGGGGCGCTGAACCACTTTTCCAACTGATCATCGAATGGCCTCAGTGTTTGGCCTCAGTGTTAAGCGATCATCGAATGGCCTCAGTGTTAAGCGAATGGCTTCAGTGGCCGCAAAAAAATTTCTCAGTTCAATCGAGAATGAGCGGAGTTACAGGAATTCGTCACACGCTTTAAGCGCTTTCTTTCTTTTCTTGTCCCGACAAGCGCGCTGGAAGCTACGTGGCCAGAAATATGGTTGTAAGTAGAAAGTTGTATTACGTACCTATTTTATAATGTGTATTCCCATGTGCCACTACGTAGGTAAGTGCATAGTGAATGATTTTTTCATTGTATTGTTGAAGTTTTAGAATCTGTATTTCTTATTGAAATAATGTACTCTCCCCTCCACCACCGCCGTAATGCCCTTAAGCATTGTGGGTACTATGGTAAAAAAATCAATAAATGAATAAAAAAGACTGATTCATACGTGGGGTTTCACGTCCCGAAACCAGCATATGATTATGAGAAACGCCGTAGTGGAGGGCCCTGGAAATTTCGACCACCTGGGGTTCTTTACCATGCACCCAAATCTGAATACACGGGCCTACAACATTTCCGCCTCCATCGGAAATGCAGCCGCCGCAGCCGTGATTCGATCCCACGACCTGCAAATCAGCACCTGAGTACCTTGAAGTAAAATGAAGTAAAATAAGTGGGCGATATAGGTTACGTCAGCGCGCCCTGGCCTTGGGCTGGTATGACGAAACATGATTGCTCTCTCCCGCTGTGATTCCCGTCTGATTAGTGTAGCTACACTGTAAAAAACAAGCACGGAAGAAAAAGAGTGTGCACAAAGAGGATCGTGGAAAAAGCAATCAATGCAACGTGAAACATGGCTTGCAGCTGGTGCGTTGTAAACAGGGGGTGGTGTATCACAGTCCTTTCACGTGTGAATGGTGCTACGTTAGTCAGTCGGGCCGTTGCCTGAATGTCAGACTTAGAGAGCACCATAGTTCCCTTAAAGGAAACAGCCTATTCAGACCTTGCGATGCACGGCCGTCACTGCGGGTGTGAACCTGGTTTCTCCGGCACTTCTGCAATTTTCAGACATGAGAAAAAAACTTGGACCATGTCTCCGAAGGGAACCCTGATAGGATGCGAAGCAGCAGCGTGGCGCACGAGTGGCTTTATGGGTTGAACGACACTAACACGGGTCCTGCGGTAAGCGCAGGAAGATTTCTTTGAAACAATCGCTGGCGTAGGTCTTGTAGGTGACCCGTACAGACATGTTTCAACGTGTACGTTAGGCGCGCGTCAGGTTTAATCCGCGTGAACCGACGATTCGGTGGTGTAGTGAGCGGTGGTCGCGGCATGAGTTGCGGGCGAACGGACAAGGCAGCAGCTGCAGGCGCCGCGACGAGCGCGCTGCAGGCGTGGAAGAGTGTGATGTGAGCACGCACTGCGAGGTGAGCGTGACGTCCCACAGCAGCCGCGTGACCTACTTGGCACCGCGTCAACACCTGCGGCGCGTTCGTACGGAGGGACAGCGTTACACCGGCTAGTCAAACAGCTTCTTCGCATCTAATTCACAAGGGGAATCGCCAAAGCCTTTCTAATAAAAGATAAAAGGTTGACGCGTGTGTAAGCAAGCCTTCAATGAGCTTGCTTGATTGTGAATCTAATCTACTGCATAAGTCTGGTGACATATCAAAGTGGGTTTGTGGGGGTGGTGGCTTTTTTTTTCGCAATATGCGCAGGTGTGAACTCAAGTGTGCCGTTTAATGAGGCGTATATTTTTACTTTCATTCCTGTAATGAATTTTTAGTTTCAAGTTAGCGCTCTTCGTGTCCACTCGTTTTCTTCCACCTTGTTTAAGTTGTTTTGGCGCTTCAAAATTGTTTCCTAATGTCTTAGAAACTAGCCCAAGCTTTTGTGCTTCTATAGTGTGTAATGTTAGCAGACTATGGAGCCCGGCGCCTACACGAGGCGACGCCCCATGGTCCCGTCACGTGTCAGCGGTAACACGGCTGCAATACTTCGCTAAGCTGTTCGTAGCAGCGCCTGTTTTCCGCAGAGTGTCTTTTTTTTTTTTCAACAAGGATGAGGGGTGGTTCATGGGCCCTTTAAAGGTAAGTCTTCTTTTTTGCACATTTCATACGCGCTAGCAGTACTACGAAAGCCACTATGACCTTATCGAATCTCGTGCACTCGTCTACATACAGGCGCGCTTCTGTCAGATGCCACACATGGGGCTGCCTGTGCCACAAATAATCCTGCTGCTTGAAACATGTTCATATTTCATACTCCCATAGCCTGAAAGTTCAGTCCTGTCGGTCTCACTGCGTGTCGAGTGGTTGTTTAATGATTTACATGTGGGGTTTAATGTCCCAAAACCACCATTTGATTATGAGAGACGCCGTAGTGTAGGGCCCCGAAAATTTCGGCCATCTGAGCTTCTTTAACGTGCACCCAAATCTGAGCACATGGGCCTACAGCGTTTTCCCCTTCAACGCAAATGCAGCCGCCGAAGCCGCGATGTGTTCAGTGGTTGTCACTTGCCCCGAATCGTGAAGGCCGGCTGCAATCAGTGACATATATTTGAAATTTGTTAATAACAGTTGAGGTGGGAAGTTGGGATAATTGGTACCAAGCGTAACAGGACCTCATTACTAGCGTAGAAGCTCCCGGGTTCTTTCTTCTCATCCCCTTTACGCTGTAGTAATGCCTACCATGTTGTGTGTGTGTGTGTGTGTGTGTGTGTGTGTGTGTGTGTGTGTGTGTGTGTGTGTGTGTGTGTGTGTGTGTGTGTGTGTGTGTGTGTGTGTGTGTGTGTGTGTGTGTGTGCGTGTGTGTGTGTGTGTGTGTGCGTGTGCGTGTGCGTGTGCGTGTGTTCTTATGAATAAGAGCAGTGTGTTCAACGAGTTTATGCGTGAAATAAAAAAAACAGCGAAAACCGCTAGGGCGACGTTGGACCAAGGGCGTAGCCAGGGGATGGCACAGCGGGTACGTGCCAGCCTCTTCTGATACTTTTGTACTCTATACAAAGTATCGAACGACCCTGGCAACACCTGCCGGTCCAGCTACCACAGCTCAGTTGGTGGGGCATCAGCCCTTGGGAAAAAAGAAGCAAAAAGCCTGGTTACGCCACGGCGTTTGATCTAATAGTGAGCAAAAAAAAATGACGCACTATATACAACATTGCGCCAGAGAAATTCGCAGCACGCTGACATCAAACCTAAAGATCTTTTTTTTAATGAAACAAAGTTCACTCATCGACAATCACCGTTCTATTTAAACACATGCATTCGAAGATCTTTAAAGTAAAATGATTATTGAAAAATTGAAAGCCTCCTCACAAGACTTTCATTACGCTCTTCAGAGAATGTTTTCCTGCTGTAGAGCGAAGAGATGGTGAACATACCTGAGTGCAGCCACTGGTGACACGCTGCTCAGCAGTTTGTCGGTTCTTAAGTAGCGTCCATTACAACGGATTCGTAGTTCTTTGATGCCAGATCAAAGAACTGGGATGTTACGACGTCATTGGAGTATGAATAACCACATCGACCAGTTTGATGTTCGACCCAATACTCATATTTTGATTAGCATAAAACGCAGAAACATCTATCTACATACAGACTTCGGTAGAAATTAAAAACCGTCAGTTCTTCATGATAACCCAGAGTCCATCTCTACCACGTCATCATTTGGTAGTTTTCGTGCGCAAAACATCAGAATGAATTTATTTATTTTACACCAGCTTTCAGGAATGTCCAGTCCCCTCGAAGTCGCATGGTGAATGAACAATGTTAAAATATTAATTGATTGATTGATTCAGT